TAAACATTTTAGGTAAATTAATATAGATCTTATTTATTAATTTAAAATTCTTTTATTAATATTTAATTTTACTTACAAAGAATCATAGAATAAATTAGAAAAAAATTTCAATATTATTTTTAGATAGCTTAATTATGATACTTATAGTATAATGTAACTTTTATTAAAAGATTTTTTTTTTCATATCTAGAACTTACAATATCCAAAAATACTAAAGAGAAAAAAAACTATTGGAGAATTTGTTATACTATTAGAAAAATTTAATAAAAGAAAATATATTATTTACTGTTCAAAAATATGAGCATATAATGATGTTTATGAACAACTTCATGAAAAATAAAGTTTTAAATTAATAATAGATGTGTATTATTACTTCTTAAATTGTAAAGAAAAAAGGAAATTAAAATTATAGAAAAATAATGCAATTCAACTTATGATTACAATTAATGCTTTTTATATAAGTCTTAATGATAAAAATATCTTTTTAATAAATACTATATTTTTCTATTAAGTATAGATAAGACTATTACTATTATATTAAAAAAAATTAAATAATTTATATAATCTCATATTTTTAAATTAAGTAATTTTGTGCAAGAAACTAGAAGAGTTAAAAAAGATCATAATTCTGCAAAATGTGTAATTTTTTATATACGTTATAATATTCGCGTAAATTATCATGAATTATTCAATTATAATATAAAATAAAGAGTTGTAAGTATTAAATTTAATTAAAAATACCTCTTAATCTATTTTTAAATTTTTAGAAAATTTGAGTTTCAAGATATTTAAAATAAAACTATTTATTTATAATAAATATCTTTACTAAACTTCTAATAGGTTTTCCTAAATTTAATTAAGTTTTATTAAGTTTTAGATTTAAAAAAAAAGTCATTTTAAAGATTTTAAAATAGTTTCTAAATTTTTAAGCTACACGTTAAAATAGGTTTTAAACAGTATCATTAAATTTAATAAAAAATAAAAAATAAATAATATATAATTAAAATCTAATATATTTTATAAAACAACTGAAGATATAGTAATAGTTCAGAAGTGACAAGAATATCTAGATATTTCAAAAAATTTTAGTTTTAAGTTGAAAATAAATTGCTGAAAATTTTTTAATAATTCGTTAGTTTGTGTAAAAAGCTTTTGTGCAATTTTGCTATAACATCGCTATTATAATTTAAATCTTTTTATAAAAGTAAATATTTAGCAAAAAGATAATTTAAAATCTGCTAAATTATTATAAGCCTTATTATTTTTGAATCTTTATTATTTTTACTTGTATAATTACATAAAAAATATCTAACCCAATTTTTTTTTACTTTATAATTCAATTATAAAGTTTTTTTTTCTTTAAGATAAAATTCTTTTCACTCTAAAACAAGCTTTTTTAATAGTTAAATTTTTTTAACCTATTTCTTATCTTAATCTATTGAGTAACTATGCAATTATTAATACTATAGTGTCTTGTTGTTATACTTCTTTTATTCTTTATAGTATAATTAATTACTTTTTTTGTTTAAGAGTATAGGAACTGCAACTTTACTTAATAATAATTATATTAAATAAATAATGTATTTAAAATTCAGATTTCACAACATTTTTTAAAATTAATGTAAAAGTTCATCACATTACATATATTATACTCAAAAATGACAATTCATAATATATTATTATTATTATCTTTGATATATCACAAATAAATAATTTATAAAAATTATCTGAAAATAATTACTATTATATTATAGGTTAGGTATAATAATTAAAATTAAAAAATAATAGAATATTTAAATTAAATAGCATTTAATACGCATAAATATTTTAAAAAATATAAAAAAGAATCAGTTAATTTCTGAGTTTTCAATAAAATTCAATTTTTATTTTTTTTTTGATTTTTAATGAAATATTATGTTATATTTTTGTTATATTTTTTATTTATTATATTTTTTTTTATTACAATTTATTTAATAAACTGTTATGAATATTTTAAATACTTTAGCAGTTTCTTTTATCTAGTTTAATAGATAAAAAAGGTAAATATTCTTATTACAATTTTTTTCTATATCAAGAAATACATGCATTTTATTGCTTTCTTAAAATTATATAATATATTTATCCTTATATTTTTAAATGTACAATTACATCATAAAATAATACCTGATTTTTATATATAATATTATACTATATTTATTTCCATCTTTTTTTTTGTATTTGATTTAAACTTTCTTATCTACTTGTTTTTTAAAACACTGTTTCATAATTTTTTGAAATTAAAATTGATACCTGTATATATTAAAATGACTTTATAAGATAAGATAAAATAGTAGTATATATAAAATAAAAACTATTTAAATCCCAAAATCAATATTCTAAAAGATTATAATTCTAAAATTATAATTTTAAATGACTATAATCCTAAAATTATAATTTTAAAGTATTATAATCATAAAATTGCAATTCTAAATGATTATAATCCTAAAATTGTTATTCTAAATGATTATAATCCTAAATAATCATAATTCTAAATAGTCATAATCACAAATATTATAATTTTAAAATTATAATATAATAATAGTTTACTAATTGTGATATTTGATTTGTATTACATAATATTATTAAATTTTATTAATAATTTTTAAACTTTCTTTCAATAAGATAATGCATTAAATGATTTAGCAATTTTTATTTATTTTTATTAATTTAATCAAAAATATTTTAAAAGTAATTAAGATAAAGATTTTTTACTAAATTTTAAAAGCAAAAATTTAAAAATTCTAATAAACTTTGTTAAATTCATGATAGAACTTTTTAAAATATACTTAATATTTTTAATATTTAAATAAAAATATTATTCAGAATTATAATCAATTGAGATTATGATTATTTGGGATTTTGATACTTATCATATGGAATTATGATTTTAGAATTATAATCTTTTAGAATTTTAATCTTTGAGATTTTATAACAAATCTATAAAAACTCTAAATATTATTCAAATAGCAAAAAAAATAGATCAGAACTCAACTTGTATTATATCATTTTTTATTATTTTATTATCAAACACTAGAAAATAAAAAAATATTAAAATTTATTATAATTAGATATTCATTTGTTCTTAATAATAATGAAAAAAAAATTATTAATAAAGTTTTACAAAAATAATAAGCATTTTACATAAAATTATCAATATGTTGAGTCTAAACTGTAAAATAAATAACTATTAAAAGAAATTATGTATAATGTTAAGATTCATTTTATATCGCTATAAAAAAACCTTTATTTCAGATATAATTACTTATATTAATTGGATGAAAATATAAGAAAAAAATGCTTATGCTTAGACACAAATTATTTATCTAGATAATTAAGTGTTAAGATTAAAAAGCAATCTCAGCAAATAAGGATTTGGTAGAATATAGAGGAAAGGTGATTAAAAATTAATAATGGTTACAAAAGGAATAAAAGACCATTAATTATTTTGTGATAAAAACAAAAAAGGAAATAAAAAAATCAATTTAAATACTTACATTAATATCCTAAAATCATATTTACTTCTATTTAAAAATATAGTTTATAAATTAGCTGTAGTTTTTCAACAGAACAATTTTCAACAGAATAATACACTAATATATACTTTAAAAATAACCAAAGAATGGTTTAAAACTAATAAACTTACAAATATCAATTAGCCAGCAAATTCATCTGATTTAAATCTGATAAAGAGATATAAAAAGATAATATTCAAAATTGAGAGTGCTTTTTAAGGATTATAAATAAGCTTAAAATTACATTAAAGCAGGGATGAAAAGATTTGGATAGTTACATTTTTAAGGAGCTTGCAATTTCAATGCTACAAAGAATTAATGCAGTATTAGAAGCAAAGGCAAGCCAACAAAGTATAGTAATAAAAAATTGAAATAAATTTCAAGTATGGTTTTAATTTAACTTTGTGATGTAACTGTACAGATAATAATTTAAGCTTAGATGTCAATCTGTGTAGTATTACATCATTTTGTCCAATCAATTCACTTTATTTTTTGAAATAAAGTAACAATAATCGCATTAATTACCGAAATCACGTGATATAAACGATCTTTCAAATAACATACAGTTGATCCGAATCACGTGTCTCTAAAAATTACAAAAATTACACTAAATATAATTTCATTAATACTTACAGTGAAATAAAATTCTACAAATAACCGGCGGGATAATTTTTTTTAATAAGATAAATTAAATTAAATATATATTAAATTTTTTAATTACATATCATGATATAGTTATTTTTCCGTTTTGAATTTTAAGTACCGACACTAATTACCAAAAATGTAATATTTCATGATATTTAAATTATTTATTTATTTATAGAGAAATGAAATCGAAGTAGGAAATTTTTTTATTTTAAATACATAGTACCCCATTAGACTTTTGGTAGAAAACGGAAATTAAAAAAGTACGAAAACTATATTATTATCTATATGAAATCGAATTTAGTAATTTCTTGACATTTCCACGTGAGGAATTACAATTAAGCGTGATCATCACGTTGTTTGATAGTTTCTGTGGTGCTTGATTATTATATATTTGTACTCTTTAATCTTTTATATGCAGAGTGTATATACACCGAAACATCGGAGTTACGGACCATAATTATACTCCTTTATTTAAAAACAAATATCCGATTTAATCGGAATTGATTGCATCAAAGCAAATATTTACGTTTATGTGAAACAAAAAGCAACAACCCATTCAATACGCATATTTTATTTTATTCTTTTTACTAAAAATGAACATGATCCTAGTTGATATTAATTTTATATTGAATATAAAAAGGACCAAATTTTATTTGGACCTATCGTATTATAAATTTGAACCGAAAGCTACATCAACCCCAAAATAAATAACTAATAACAAAAACATTTCTTTTTCACTTTTAATATTCTTGGAGAATAATACAAAACAAAAACGCAACATCCCACGAGAATAAAATGATAATGGAACCTGATAGCAACTCTTATTTAGTGGAAAATAGAGAAGCGACAAGAGGAGATATTCGTTTAATAACAAAACTTGGTTCTCCCTCCTCAGTATATTCAAAGGTTCATTATAAAAATGTATTTACCAATCAGTCAACAAATTCTAACAATTCTTTGAAAACTAATTCATCAAAAAAAATAAATAAAGATGCTATTAAAGTTACTTCTAAGGAAAGGGAAAATTCAATAGTGACAAATTTATCCAATTTATCTAAAATATCAAACCCTTCCGATGAAATGATCGATCAATTTTTATCATTTGATTCCTCCTTAATATCCGAATCTTTCTCCGCTGAATCAAACTCAAACTCAAATAGCCTCAATTCATCAGATATTCCATCATCTCAAAATCATAACTCTACAATAGGAAGTCATTTTTTAAAAAATAAAACTAACAAAGGTATAATTTCCGATATGAATAATTTAATGGATGACGGATCTAGTTTTATTGATTATGCTAGGGTCAATCCAAAACGAAATCGAGACTATCATAATTTATTTAAAGAAATTCCACTAAATGAATATTTGATTAATGATTATGGTTGTGCTTTACAAAAAGAAATTTTGGCCCAGGGAAAAATTTACGTTTCTCTAAATTATATTTGTTTTCACGCCAACATTTTTGGTTGGGTCACCAATGTAAGTATGAAAATAGAATACGATATTTTTGCGGTAATGATCATAACTGTAACTTTTTTATGTGTGTAGACGGTTTTACCTTTCTTGGATATAACTGCGATTGAGAAGAAAATGACCGCATTCGTAATTCCAAACGCAATTCTAATATCAACTAAAAAAACAAAGGTAACGAGAGAATCATCTTGATTTTCCTCCAAGCAAAATAATTATTCACGCTGATTTTCTTCATTTAGTATTGTTTTGCATCATTCCTTTCACGTGACACGGTGTATGAATTATTCATGAAATTATGGAGGCATTCAAATTCTGATAGTAATCAAAAATATTTGCAAGTTGGACAACAAAATTTCAATTCTGATGAAACAAATGAAAATTGTAAGAGAATATCAACTTTACCTTTTGTTTTTGTAATGTCGAATCGATTCGATGGCTAAACTCTATTATTACGTTTACAATACTAGCAATAAGCTTATTAAAGAATAAATTAATAACAAAATTATCGTTGCCAAATATTAACGCCTACAAAAAAGGTGATATGGATCTAGAAGAATTTGCAGCAACCTTAAATAATACAGTTGCAACAGAAAAAATCGTAAATAATGAACATACAAATTACTCTTCGCCATCTTCTCCGAACCAATTTTATTTGAATCGAAATCTTAAAAGATCAAAATCAGAAGATATAGTTACTAAATCTCCATTAACCTTACAAGATATACATCATGAAACGATTTGTGATTGCTTAAAAAATAAACAACATTTTGATAATTTAGTATTAGATACTAAATTTAAAGGAAGTGTTGAAAAAATTTATAATTTATTGTATACAAGTGGATTCATTGCCGAATTTTTAACAGATCTCGAAAAAACTGATGGTGTGTATAATAAATACCTTTGACACGTGTATTTACAAAGTTAACTTCTAATTCACTTTTGCTTACCACAAATATATATTCAGATACGAATTTTGGTGAATGGACTGAATATGACGGCAAATTAGTCAGACAAGCCAGTTACACAAAACGATTAAATAAAGCTATAATTAATATCGGTAAGTATGAATTACATATGAACTTTTAAATAAAATTATAAAAATATAACTTTTTCAATGGTAAATAGGTCCAAAAACCACAAAATTTTACGTAAAAGACGAAGTTTTACATCGAGATTTTGAAAAGTAGTGTTATAATTTCTTCCTTTTTTTCTTTTTTCTTTTGATAAAAGAAAATAAATTTAACCAAATTTTTATTCTTTTAGATATGTATCAATAATGACATCAACGAAAACACCAGATGTACCTTCGGGCAGTGAATTTACGATTAAAACAAGAACATGTATAATGATGACTGCTACAAATAAAACAAGGGTAATTGTAACTTGCACCTTTGAATTTTCAAAACCTACGTGGCTTAAAGGTAAATATATTTATTTTCTTCCTAGGTATGGCTAATTCTCTTCTTTTCTTCGTTTTTTTTCTTTTAAATTAATTCTTTCTCTTTTGTTAGCCTCAATTGAGAAAGCATCATTGGAAGATCAAATAGCATATTATAAAGCAGTAGACACTGCTGTACGCAAATATATTTCACAAAATCTTTCAGAATTTGAAACATCGGAAACATCAACTTCTTCAATATTTAATGAAGCAGCTAAATGTGAAGTAGTAAACAATGACAATTTTTACGCTACGATAAAACAAAAATCCACAAAGAACAAGAAAACGTTGCACTTAAACGAAGAAGTAACAACTACAAATAATAATAGCATTACAAATTTTTACCAAACAGTAATCAATACATCAAAACTTACTAATATATTGAGTGTTATTGAATTAAGGGTTCCAAATATTGAAACCATTGTTCTAATCGTAATCATATTAACTTTAATAATTAATGTATATATGTTAATTAGTTTAAAAGATATAACACATCAAATTAAATTTATTGAGCAACTTTCAGGGCAAAAGGACCACATCATTGAATTTGATAATATTCATTACACTTTAATTGAATGGTTAAATGAATTGAGAAAACGACAATTGTTTTCTATTTTGAAAGGCTCGTAGATCTGTATTTTTCGTAGTTTTTTTTTTTTAAAAATCAAATAAATTGTAAAACTTTCATTCTCTCACATTATATTGAGTAAATGATGAGAACCAATTTTGAACCATTAAATTTTGTTAATTAAGTTCGCCTATAAAATTAATTTTATCATACTATTTATTCATCACGCTTGTAATAGATTTATATTGAATGTATCTACCTAAAAATAATCTAAAAATGTTCATAAATTGAAGTTTAGAGAAAACTATTATCTAATAAAAAATATCTTAAAATTAAAAAGTATTTTTATTAGTATCTTTCTTGAAATTTAAAAATATTTTTAATTAATATTTTTCTAATAAAAGATATTTTGAAATTTAGAGATATCTTTTATTAGTTATTTATCAAAAATATATCTCTGAAATTCAAATAAGATTTTATTAAATAAAGTTACCTTTAAAAATTCAAATAATTCTTTTTCTTTAATAAAAATTATCTTTGAAATACAGGGTGCCGTCCAAAATCCCGACAGGTACAAAATCCCGACAGGTCAAAATCCCGACAGGTATGAAATCCCGACAGGTACGATATATATTGTTCTATTTTATTTAATGTTAAATTTAATTAAATTTTATTAAATACTATATTTAAGGTTAGTTTTTCATTAATTTTATTTACGAAATTGGCAGTAACATCATCTGTCAGGATTTAGGGATTTTGAACCTGTCGGGATTTTGACCTGTCGGGATTTTGAGTTTCAGGATTTGGGCCTGTCGGGAATTTGGGTTTCGGGATTTCGTACCATACCCGAAATACAAAAAAAATGTCTTTAAAATATCATTTTTTTGCTTATATAATTAATAAATTATTTTTATACATTTTATAAATAAAGTTAAGAATTAAATAAAATGATATTTTTCCTTTTTATTAAAAAAAAGGAGTATAGTGAAAAAAGAAGATATAATCATAATAATAAATAGTATTTAATAAGTAAAGTAAAAATATATAAAATAATTATTAAATTTTTTAAAATTCACTAAAGAAGATTAAAACTTGCTTAATGTTCTAATAGTTTACAATTTAACATATAATTTTAAAAAAAAGCAAAATAATAAACAAATAATTTTGATAAAACAGGCTATAATTTATTTATATTAATTAAGTTAAATGAAATATTTAATATAACCAAAAATAATTAGTATAAATTTGCAAATAAATTCACTGATAATTATATGCAATATATACAATTACTTAATTCATTTAAAAATAATTATGCATATATATAGAGTTATGAAATTAATATATATGCACTAACCTATATTAAATTACCAGATTTATAATCATATATTTATTGTGTTTATAATAAATTTGTGATTTCTTCCTATTTTACATAAAAATAATAATAAAAAACATATATAGTATTTATCTTCTTCAAAAAAATGTGTGAAAATAAGCTATCTAAAACTTATTGTAAAAGAATTATCAATGCATATTTAAGTGATACCAAGCAAACAGTTATTTCAATTCAGCTTGATATTCCTACTAGCACTATTAATGATATTATAAAAAGATACAAAGAAACAGATTTCGCAATACTTGAGAAGTATATTGATAATAACTGATCATCTTAAAATGCTTAATTAATATGATAAATAGGTCTTATAACATATAAGGTATACTGCAATAAAATCAGACAAAGTGAACATTGATATTACTAAGAATTACAGAATCAAAATTTAGTAATATGATTATTAAAACCTTCCTATTAATATTAGGTGATATTTAGAATTATCTCTATATAAAAATAGTTAATATGAAGCTTATTTACATCAGATCTACTATGAAATCTAAAAATAATAATATCATTAAAAGTATTCTGAAGAAAGAATAAGGTGAAAAAATTACCTCTTATATTTTCAAAATAAATGATACTCAAACACTGGAAGTTTATCTAAAAAAAGAAAGGATTACTTATGAAATTTATCATGAAGAAAAAAAAATAATAAGATATAAGCTAAAAAGGGTTTCTGGAACAAAATTATATAATAGCTGTATAAATAGTAAGCCTCTGCCTAAGTGCAAAACAGTATACGAATTTTTAATAAATTTATATTATACTCTAAATTACCCTATAAGACCAGAAAACATATCAAGAATCTATAATAAATTTATGCTTTAAAACATGCTGAGTGTAAAATCCTGTTAATTTATTTTTTTACCCATATTTTTTAGCTTTTAAGATAAAGAAATATACCATCTTTGTTAACATACTGGCTTATTTTTAATTCTAAATTATATAACAAAAATATATGCTATTCTATTTGCCCTAAAAATGAGTATTAGAACACTGAGGACTGAAGTATTTGAGTATGCTCTATATGAGTTTCTGCAAGCTTAATAAACATACCTAAGTTTTATGTATCATAAAATTAATTCTAAAGCTGATTTATTATCAAATAGCAAAGGTCAAAAGTCTAACCAAAAAAATTCGTATAGCTAAGTCTATCCAAAATAATCTAACCAAAAATTATTATCTATTCTGAGTTTTTTAAGGCCTTATTATGTAATCAGTTATAGTATTAAATCACATAATAACTTTTAACATATAGTGAATACCACTCAGAAGATGAGCCAGTAGGCTTGTCACATATTCTACATGATATATGTACCTTAGTTTTCCAATGCTCATGATACCCTTCTTCATGCATGCAGGGCCTATTACAAGTCTTGCCAGTATTGTGCAAATATAGACAGGAATATTCTTTGATCATTTTGATATATAGGGAAATAATTAATTAAAGAGAAAATTTTGTAAAGGTATTATATCTTACAAATAATTAACCTACACCAAGGTAAATAATTATTTAAAGAAAAAGGTTTATAAAAATACTATATATAAAACAGAATAGTAAAAGGTAATCAAATTTGTGACTAATGTGGTGATGAGTTTGCTACACTCCAAAAACTTCGTCAACATATAAATAGAAAGTTTAAATATAAGCTAAAACTAGTATCAAACCCAACTTCAGTAGTTCATATCTGAGGAAAAAACTGTTAAAAGAAAATTACTCCTTTGTCTATAGAGGATTTGGCTAACTGGTTAGTGAAACTAAAGATAAAAATAATCTAACTATTACAAACAAAAAGCTTTCTAAAACAGATATCAAATGGGTTGATTTGATGAAAAATCCTTTAGTAAAAAAATAAAAGAAAACCAAAGTTTTCCAACTAGAAGAGGATCCTGAAGTTGGATTTGACCAATAACTCAAGCTCATAGAAAGAGATTACCATCTAGTATTAAGATATTTAATAAAGAATATATGAAGGAATTAATTGGTGAGGAAGAACCTAGTAAAGTTGAGTGACAAGACACATAAGAGGATATTCACTTTGAAGAATGTTCAGTTAAAAGAAATCTAAAAAGATCACACAAAAATCGATCTTTAATGAGCAAATGGATAGGAAAAGTTCCTGAAAACAATTCTACATATACTTTTATCAAACCAATAGCTGATCCTAGACAATATAAAGAAATTCCATACATATCCCAACTTATGGAATTAATTAGACTGAAAATAAAAAAGTTCTTTAAACAGAGTTTTATAGAAAAGATCAAATATAATCAGCTATAGTATTGTATCTGTATTCAATCACTAAAAAAAATCCAGATGATACAAGTCATATATTATTTGTATACAATCATGAAAAAGGGAAAATGCAATATTTGCTTTTAATAAATGATATAGATAAGCATATAACCAAATCTGCTGGAGAAATAAATAATCAGATTAAGAAAGCATTAAAAAAGGGATCTAGATATATTCTCAAACGAATTTTTGAAATATCTATTGAGGTATATAAATGCTGTTGAGTATACATGAAGTCAAAATGAAAACCCAAAAGTCAAAATGAAAAGTCAAAATAGTCAAAATTACGTCATATCACATGATTTTATATATAGAAAAAACAAAAGATGTACGATCTCAGTCAATATCGCTCTGATTCATATGAAATAATTACCATTCGATTTCCTATAACTAGACGAATTCAACGAGCTAAACTTCATTAATTTGGATCAGCCCATCTTAAGATATTTGCGATTGTATTTCAAAATCCAGACTCCTTTATTTAAAGTAGAATTTATTGATTTATAATTTTGACTGATAATACAATTACGATTATCTCGAGATTGGATAATTCGAAATTAATATATGTTATCTCATTGAATTCGTCTAGTCACGAGAAATTGAATGGTAGTTATTTCATACGAATTGAAGTGATATTAACCGAGATTGTAATCTTTTGTTTTTTTTGTTTTTTCTATATATAAAAAATCATATAATATGACGTCATTTCAACCATTTTGACTTTTCACCTCAAATAGTCGAAATGATTTCGACCAAAAAAAAAACTCTCTCTCTCCCTTGTTGGATTTTATCCAAGAATTTTTACTCTAAAAAAGTGTCTGTTCAAAGGCAGCTGCGGTTTAGCCTGCGAACAAAATAAAAAACTCTTCTTTTCAAAAATTTTCCTCTTTTTATTTTCCCAACCCCTATCCATATAAAAATTGCCATTGAAGTCTAAACTGTGTTGTTTTTTGTCAAAATATTTTTTCTTTATCTCTCTTTAATATATTTTTTCTCGTTTTTTTTTTCAAAATTATTTGCTCATAAAAGTGTGCATCAAGGGGTATCCCAACTGATGATCACAATCAATATACTTTGAATACACAAATCTACGTGATGACATCCTTATTCCTTCATAAATAGCAACACACTTTTTTTGTAAATCTCTGACGTTAAAGACTGCGGAATCTCACGCAGTATTTTCTGGATTTGACTGACTATATGATTTGGGCCTTATCCTGTGCCGTGGGTCTGCTGTAATCTAAATTGATAGATATCTTAGCATTGGAAGTGATAGTCCAAAGAGTCCCTATTGGAACTTAGTGATATATGCGTACCTGTACTGGGTGGTCACTGTAATCCGGAATTAACTGGACAACTTAGCTAGGAATTTAATT